AGAGTTCTTTACATCGCAACAATAAATGGTTCAACAAGTGATATGTACGTTACAATTAACGGTAGTTTCCAGATAACATATTTCAAAATAAACTTGTCAAACCTCCAATACCGATAAAAGACCCGGAGTGTGTACGACACCTCCATCCCACAGCCGATGCAAATGAACGCGCTATCGGGAGCGCTTCCATATGGCACATAGGAATGCGGTCTCTCTGTTGATTACCGGTGAACAGGGGTAGCTTTAGCCTTGTGAACTCAGTGGTTGTAAACAACCAGCGACGGTATTCGATCAGGTGATGCAGTTTCGCGTAAAACATGATCTCTTGAAGACAAAATTCATGAAAATGTGGATACCACTGGGTACTCCAAATAGCTCGCAGGTTCGACATATTTATCGGGTCTACCGGAAAGTTCTGTCCGTTTTCGGAATAAAACAAAGTAGAAATTTTTCTCACTGTAAATAAACTTCATTAAATACTATAACCGCCATTATTTTTATTAATGGTTTCTCGCCAGTCTGAGGGCAATTTGAATATATCCCATTTTTGAAAAATGTTTTCTTTTGATGTGAAAAATTAAATCAGTGTCTGTTTGTTATCTTCTTCGTGTTTTTGAATTTTTCGCCCTTCAAAAAATCTGTAAGGACAAAAACAAATGATTGTCGAAGGGTGCTGAGTCTAGGGAATATGGTGAATGTGACAGAATTTCCCACCCTAGTTCTGCAATTTTTCGACGAGTCTCCAAAGCAGCATGTGGCCCGGCATTATCATGATGAGGTATCATATTCCTCCTATTGAACACAACCGACCCCTTTTCATGGGTTGCTGTCTTTAAGTTATCCAGTTGCTGATAATACTTCTCCTAATTGAGCTTTTCGTTTGGTTTCAGAAGCCCATAATGTATTGGTCCTCGAACGTCCCACCAAATACACATTCATCAGGTTCAAGAAGGGCTCGATTTCGGTCCGAATAAACGGAGATTTGTGCATGACGACTCGATCATCCCAATTCTTCCTAATTCATGTGGCCCACATCTTGAACATTCTCGCTTGCTGAGCGGAATTAAACCGTTCTGCGAACTCCGATGTCGTCGGAAAAGGATCTTTCTCTAATATGTTCTTAACCACATCGCCATCAATCAAAGATGGTCGCCCACAAAGTGGCTTATCAGAAAGATGGAAATCAAGTAAGTCAACTTTGTTTTAGTTTATGTACTACGTCAGTATGTATACATCAAGTGATAAAAGTAGAGAGGAAAACATGCGTCAAATGCACACGCACTTATGTGTCGAACCTTTTGTGATA